TTCACTCATACTGAAAATGCCGGGAAGTCAAATTCACATTTTTCTTCATCTAGGGGTCTGGCTAACCCTTTCTAATAACAGTGCACACTTCTATGAGGCCACTGAGGCCAGGACGTCATATGTTTGTGATTGGAAGACTATTGCTACAAAAGGAAGTGATGTATTTGAAAGAAATTAACAAATACACACGAGGGTGGGTGTGAGTTTCTCAGCATGGAAACGGATTCTGTCCTCAAATGGTTGCGTGGAAACATCTGTTTCAAACCATTCTGAACTAGGAAGAATGTGGGGACCAACCATATGGCTTACCTCACCCTCTTGACCTAAGGGATGATGTCTGGACAAGGGAGGAAACAGAAGTGGCCTTGGAATCACATCCTTTTAAAAACAAAACAAAACAAAATAAAACAAAAACCATGTCCTTATGCTTTTTTGAAGGGTTTCTTCACAGCATAAAATTCCCCAAATATCCTCTTTGTGTTTATTTTTTTAACCCCTTACACAGTTTCCTCACGGTTAGTATCTTTCATGACTGTGGCATATTTGTCAAAATGAAGAAACTGAAATTGGTGTAATTTAACCAAGCCCCAGACTTTATTTGAATTTCACCAGTTTTTCCATACTGTCCTCTTTCTGTTCCAGGATCCCATCCAGGACACTACATTGCATTTAGTCATTATTTCTCCTACTCTTCCTTCTTGGCTTTTGATGACCCTCTCTTCTTTTGCCTGACTATAAGCTTCAATGGACTCTTAAGAAGCCCTTCTAAACATACCAGGGCCAACGTTTCAATTGTGTCTATTGTAAGGGAGAAAAAAAAAACTTTCCCTCTACCTTCTCAGTCCCTGCAGTTGGGTCCCACTGACAAAAGACAGGTTAACAAGGGAAAAACTGAGTTTATTAACACGAGCAGAGTGTGTATATGTGGAAGAAATTCAGTGATAACTTAAAGTGGTGGTTAGAACTTAAGCTGTTATGGCATCTTAACAAGGGCAATAGATTTGCAGAGAGGTGACAAGACAAAAGGAAAACAGGCTTAGGCTTTTAGGGGTGACAAGCCACAGTAAAGTAAATATATGTGGGGAAACTAATGGAAGATAATGGTTAGCTAGTGAAGTTTGTTATGGATAGATTCCTCTCATCTCCAGACTAATAAGAGGCTACGGTTGTCCCTGGTGCTTAGGAGTCTAAGAATTGTCCTCCTCTTCCTGGTATGAGAGAGAGACACCTTTACAAATGGAATTTTATGTTCTGCTCTGAGGCAAATGGGGAGAAGGCAGAGAGCTATTTTTGGCATCTGCTGTTTCTCAATTTTCTTCAGCTCAAAATCTTATGCCAAAGTAGTTTGTTTGGAGGTGGCATATTCTGATCCCCTGCACTATAATTCAAAAAACAAATAAACCAAAAACGAACAACAACAACAAACAATTTTAAAAACCAATCAAGAAAACTTGGGAAAATTTAAAAATTCAGTCAAAAGGCTCTCTTGGTTGCCATTTTACCTACATAAAATCAGTCATCATCCATTTAATGAATTTATTTTCTACGATTTTTAGTGCCTGTTCTGGCATAACTCAACATATAGCTGGATCTATCTCATGGGTCAGAACAAGAGGTCATCAGGCAATAGGAAGGACTAGACTAGGCAAGCAAGGTATTAGAAACTAGACTTCTGGACTGGGAAAGGACAGAAATTTGGACCAGACCATGCCTAACTATATGATGGGAAGTTCAGAGAGCGGGACCATAGAACATCTGGGAGACCCCAGACAGGTAGCATCAGAAATTGAAGCAAATAGTAGGAGCATGGGGACAAGGGGTTGAGAAAGGTGGGCGGGCAGATGGACTGGCAGTGAGTGCCAGACAGGGTTAGGTGATGTGCAGGAGCCAGTCAGCCATGAGCAGGAGGTTGGCCAGAAAGAGCAGAAAAGACATCAGCCTGGCCTCATGCTGCCTGTGAATCAGAGGCAGGATCCTGGTTTGAGATCTCAGAGCTTAGGTTCTGAGTTGTATCTCTGGCAGGGTTTGACCATGCAGGGACTACCCAGAAGCAGGATACCCGGGATACCAAGGTAGAGAGGTGAGCACAGGAACCCCAGCATTAGAATTAGGGCAAGGTAAGAGCAAGGTCAGAACCCAGGTTAACGTGAGATTATATTAACTTCCCTACCAAAAAAAAGATACTAAATTCCCCCTGAATAGGAAAAAAAGTTACCACTAACTCTAACTCAGAGTTTCAACCTTGGCGCCAGTGAGATTTGGGACTGGATAGCTCTTTGATGCCAGGGCTGTCCTGTGACATCGTAGAATGTTTAGCAGTATCCCTAGCCTTGACACACTAGATGCCTATAGCACCTCCATCCCCTGCCAAGGTGTGACGATCAAAAATGTCTCCAAATATTGCCAAACGTCCCCTGGGGACAAAATCACTCCTGTTGAGAACTACTGCTCTAAAATGAGGCTGACCCAGTAAGAGGCATTAAATGGCCTCAGTTTTAGTAGAAAAATGTCTGGGGGAAGGAAACCAGGCCAGTTATTACAACCCAGAATAGGAATCAAGGGAAGTGATGCACCTAGTAAGGCAGTGTGGATCCAATGGCTCCTTCATAGAGAGCCACTGCATAGGCAGGTGTTAGAAAATGTTGGTCTTCAGTGGACGGAGTCTGGGACCATAAATTGCCTTGCTCCATATCAACAATATATATGGTAGAAGTGGGTATGTATTCCCTGATTTAATGGGTCAAATGAAATTGACTTGTGCTTAAAGCAATGTTGGACACATAAAGCCAGAAGAAATGAAAACTGTCTTTGTGTTTTCATACCATGAAAGCCATCCTAGCCTTAAAATGCTGTTGCCCAATGTGGGACGTATTTTACTGAATAATGCCCTTTTGTACTCTTAAGTTTTTTTCCGTTGAGTCTTATAAAGGCATCGTGTAGAACTTTTTTATCCCAGAAAATAGTGGTCATTGAAGCATTTTGGTGGACTTGTTACCACTTATATACAGTTCTAGTGTAGATTTCTCTGATTTCCTGTGTGGTATTGATGTTTGGGAATAAACTGCAAAGAGCAATGATTGCCATATACTTTGCTGCTTAAATCCACGTGAATTTCTTAATTTCATGCCACGTTGCACCATTACACTGTGGTTGGCAACTTCCAAAATGGTCCCCACGATCCCCACTTCCTGGTAATTGATGTGGGAAACAAAGGCAGAAGAAAAATCATTAAATTTCCTTACTACCTACAGCCCACTGACAAGTCCTTGAAACAGGCAGAGTGACATTCCTCTGAGGACTCAGCTGCCTTGCTGTTAATACTCTGCAAAGGGCAAAAAGGCAATCTTAGCTCAACCCCCAGGATTCTGTAAGTCTACTTTAACATACAAAAATTCCTTTGGAAACTTCCTTTATCTCTACCCCCCAAGATGCATGTTGACATTCATCCCCCAAGCATATGACCCACTGATATACATCTGAAGGGTCTCATGACTGAGTTTTTCCTAAACAGTAATAAATGACCTTTCCCCAACAATAGCTAGCCCCCTCAGGATCCTGGAAATCTTGTTTCCAAAATACCTGGGAGGCTTGTGCTCTCCCTAACCCCCTCCCAACTTGAAAGTATATAATGGGCCACTCCTCATGACCCCAGTGCAGCTCTTTTCTGCCCACGTGTCCTGTCCCCGTGCTTTAATAAAACCACCTTTTTGCACCAAAGATGTCTCAAGAATTCTTTCTTGGCCATGGGCTTTGAACCCTAACGTCTCTCCTACATCAGTAGTCACACCTTGTGTAGTCCCCTCCCTTTGCGTGATGGCCGGACCTAGTGACTTGCTGTTGGCAAATAGAATATGGTGCAAGTGATAGGATATGGCTTCCAAGATCAAGTTCTAAAGATCATCACTTCAGCTTTGCCTTTTCTCTGGCTCTTCTTGCTTGCTCTCTCTGATGGAGCCAGATGCCATTGTTGCAAACTGGCCTATGGAGAGACCTATGAGACAAAGAACAAAGAAAGACCTCTGGCCAAAAGCCAGCAAGGAATTGAGGCCTTCAGTCTCACAGTACGTAAGGAACTGAATCCTGCCCACAAGCACTTGAGCCTTCAGATGACTCTAGCTCCTGGCCAACACCTTGACCAGAGCCTGCGAGAGACCCAGCTGAGCCACTCCCAGATTCTTGACCTGCAGAAAGTGTAAAATCATAGCTATTATTATTTTAACTTGTTACATTTTAGGGTGATTTGTTAGGCAGCAATAGATGACTAACCCATACACTAAGGTCATTCTGCACTTAGATCTGTGGCCCTATTCTTGTATCGTCCAATGAGGCAACACACAGCTATGAAGACAAAACAATGAAACTTGAACTCCAGCTCCTGATGGGTAGAGAGGGGGCCCTGAGGTAGGAGGATGGCAACTGACCGTGACACACAGATTTTAAGGCTGCTGAGAAATGAAAGAGAATTACCTGCGGCGTGGAAACAGGAAGTCCACCATTTGTAGCCATAAGACAAAAAGACCCGAGTGTATCTAATCTGCCCAACAGGGGGAAGCGGGAGGAAAGAGAAAAGCAAGGAGTAGCACCATGAATACCAGGCGCAGTCTGCATTGCACAGTGGGGAAGGGGCACATCCAGGCTTTGAGGAGCACCAAGGAGTCCTGGAAGAAAGTGATGATGGTGGTTTCAGGGGAAATGTGAAACATGCTTAAAAATAGATTTCTAAAATGTGAGGCGTGATAAGAAGTAAAACATCTCTAACAACCACAACCACAACCCCCACAAAAGAAGAAGCCTCAGCCTCCCAGCCCTCTAGGTGACTAAACTATACTGGATTTTCTGGACAATTCCATAGGCCCAACAGACAGGAAAGAGCGAGAGAGTCAGGGATGTGAGAGTCCATTCTTTGTAACTGGACAAAAACACTTAAAGACAATAAGAGTACTATTTATTGATCACGGCACGAAGCAGTTTACCGTTTCTTGAAACTTCATGTTTTGCAGCTGAGGAAGCTAAGCCCTCACAACCAAGGTGTGTGACTGGTGGAGCCAGCGGAAACCCAGGTCACTTGATTCCGAAGCGCGACCTTTACCCACAACCGTGCAGCCCAAGGTACGAGCAATCCGAACAGGATGGCCCTTGAGCTGAGCCATCCTGGGGACCCTTGCTGGGCCATGCTGGCCGGATCGCGGGAGGCGAGCGCGGTGACCAGGGAAGGAGGGGACCCCATGGTTGCTCAGGTCACTGTTGACTGAGTATATGCTTATATACTAACAGGTCCTGCAGTCCTGTCCTTTGGTACTTAAACATCCCATCAGGTGTACCAGTGCAGGTGGGTGGAGAGCAACTCTGTTCCCAGCCAGTCTGGTCCCGGGCCTCCTTTCTGCAGGGTCCTGTCTCCACTTGTCACACAAAACCTGGACGTTTATTTCCAGCACAAACTGACTAAAAGTGAAGGAGAAACCAGACTGTCTGTTCTCTCGAGCATTTGTAGACAGACAACTTTTAAATAGAAGCACCCACATGGGATTCTGAAAGCTGCGCTGGCATGGTGAGTTCTGGTCGGAGATCCCTCTAGAAAGAGAAAACTCGAGCGACCGTCTTGTCTCGTGAAAAGGGGTGGGGCGTGGGATTTGGCTGTTTAGGGAAAAGCTGGTCTCTTCATCTCATGTAAAATCACAAGGCCATGGTGTAAATTTAAAGTAGTCATAGAGTCGCCCTCCTCCAGCCTGGCTGGTTCATTTACGCCGAGTGCAGATTTGAGGAAGAAAGCCGTATATTTGGCCTTAGGCTGGGGGATGCCACTGACCACGGAATATAAAGAAGTGCTTCTCCACCCTAGAGTCACCCTCCAAGGATTTTGGTAATCGATCTACGGTGTGGCCTGGCCACGAGATGAAAATCTCCCCCGATGATTGCCATGTGAAGCCCAGGGTGGGGATCACTGATCTAGAGGGATGACAGGACGTTTGCAGGCACCACAGCTTGGATGGGGTTTTGCCACTTACGAGTTGGATCGAGTAAATGACCAGATTAGCCCGGTTCGTTTTCCCAATAAGCCACCCAGGTGTTGGCCCAGCTTTTCCCCTCTGGTGCGTGGAGGGAACTGTGGTCTGGTCTTCGTGACTTGCCTCTCTGTTTTGTTTCCCCTCTTTGCACTTGAAGGGAGAATTAACACTTGAACTTCTTCTTTGTGCTTCTGTTTTATCATCCTCAAAGTGAGAAGAATAGTCAGGGATTGGTAGCGGCTGTTTTTGTCGCGGTCCTGCAGGGACACAGCTAATGAACCGCCCGGGGTGCTGTTGGGGCAGCATTTGGTGGCAAAAACTTGCAGAACCAGGGACAGTAGCAAGGGCGTGAAGCCCATTGCCTGGGGCATTCTAGCATGGCTGTGCCGGACACGGGAGAGACACCCACACCCTGGGCTAAGCGAGAGGGTTAGGGAAGCCCAGACCCCTCCATGTATGAAGGTTCCTATAGAACTGTAACATGACAGAGCAAAAACCTTCCTGGTTGTAACTGAGCTGATACATGCAAGAACACTTCAACAGTTACAACATTATGCAAGGGAAGATGGAATTATTGTAAGTCTCCTATGTTTTCACGCATCCCATAGTCCTACACATCCTTATTATTGCTCCATGTTGGGATTTTCCGGGGCCATTTTCCAGATAGCGCAATATACCATTTCTCAAACTTTCATGTGCATGCCAATCACCCAGGGCTCCTCTTAAAATGTAGGTTCTGATTCAGTGACCTGGATGGGGCCTGAGATTCTGCATTTCTGTATTTTCAGCATCTCAGTGATGCTGACGCTCCTTTTATAAAGAAGGTACCAAGCATTGTTCTAGTTGCTCCTCAAGGCACACATCATGGCCATCAAACGTTGCCCATTGCCATCTTTCTCTGGTGTATTGGCCTCCGTTTAGGGGGGCCAGATGAAACACGTATGTCCCAAACACACTTAGGTAAAAGTTTACTTCTCGCTTGTCTGAAATTCAAACATAACGGGGCTTCCGGCTAAATCCGGCTACGCTAAACCCCACTAGCCTCTTCCCACTTGTAATCTGCTGCCTGCAATCTGTTGGGGCAGCAGGAGTTGAAAACAGAGCTTGAAATGGGGGCTGCCAAGTGTAAGAAGCCCTCGATTCCCCCCCCCCCGTTTACACTTGCTTCCCCATCACGTCACACTATCTCTATTCTGACCAAATCTGTTTCCCCAACTCCTCACACCCGAGTTCTGAGACTCTGACACCCAGTTGCCTCCTCACCATCTCTGCCAGACTGTCTAGTGGGATTTCAAAACTAACGTGCTCAAAGCAGGACTTCTTGACCCACCCCTCCCGGGCTCTCCCTGGGTTCTACCAGTTTCTCCTCCCCTAGCCTGCTTCCCCGTTTGTGGCACCAAGGGCCAGCAACCTAAGAGCCATTTGGGGTGATCTTTTCCACACACACCCCTTTCCAGTCCATCGACGTGGCCCTGGTGGCTCTCTCAGAACATGGCTCCAATCCATCTGTCCCTCTGTTAAAAAATGAAATTCAGCTGAATACATTTTAAAGATCTTATTGACTTTATTCACTGATATTCATGACTCACTGAATAAGCAGCATCCGTTCTAGCAAACAGAATGGAGCTCCAAGAGCTGTACAGTATGAAAGACGTTTGTAGGTGGAAGGGGGCGGGACAGGGAACTTCCTGGGGAGGAATGGATTGTTTCAGGCAGTCACCTGCCTTTGGTGGCTGGCAGGGGTCCATCAGGCCAGTTACTTCACTAGTGCTGACCAGGTTATTCTAGATTGACTGGCTTAAGATCCCACTCCCGGGACAGGTTGAACCTGTAAGTAAGCCAAGTGATATGTCTCGGTTTGGTGATGTGGACTTCACACAAGTGACTCCATTTTGGGCCTGTGGCTCCCTTTGGCCACCCCTCATTCCCACTGCTAAAATCCCTGTCTAGGCAATCACGCCCTCTTGCCTGGACCAGTGCATGGACTTACCTGGTCTAGACTCTCTTCTTGTCCCCTTGCCCCCCACTCCCCACAGAGCAGCAATCAGATATACCCCTCACCTCCTCCCTCGCCAGCTGGCACACCCAAAACCCCATAGCAGTTCCCTGTTGGGATTATTGACTAGAAGCTGGTTAAGTCTGCAACAGAGATTCCGAACTGGGGGTGATTTTGCACCCCCCACCCCGGGGCAATGTTTGGAGACACTTTGGGCTGTTATCACTAGGGGCATTACTGGTATCTGGTGGGTGGAGACCAGGGATGCTGCTGGGACAGCCCACGCACGGATGCCAAAGAATGTCCAGTCCCAAATGTCAGTCATGGAGAGGTGGAGAAATGGTGGCCTGAGGTGAGTGGGGTCCCAGTGCTGAAGATGAAAGAGTGAAGGACAGTTTCATGCTGACACACAGTGCTGCATTAATGAACACCTTCATTCTCCAGCTTCCTGCAGCTGCCCCAAGGGGGACCGCTCCTGGCTGGACAGATGCAGCAAAAGACATCAAGACACCGTGCTGAGAGCCTAGTGAGCTCCCACCAGGTACACAAGCATTAAGTGGGATGCTTAGAGTTGATATAACATTGAACAAATGAAACCCCTAGTAAAGCGTAAAACAACTGAAAACCAGAGCCACGTGCGCTGAAGGGCTGTATTTCCAGAGGTCCCAGGGGATGGCTGATGAAGGCCTTGAGCCAACAGGCCCCGCCGGCTGCCCAGAGAATTTGCAGAGAACAAAGGCCTCTGATTTTTCCCCCCAAGCTGTTAGCTTTAAGTGAAACAAGGGTAAGAAAGTTCCCTTTGGTGTCTCTTTTCGATTAAAGGATGATGTAGGGAAAGTGTTTTGATTTCTCACAAAAACCATGAAATTTTTTTTCTTCCGTTGAAACATCTTTCCAATAACATTTCAACAAATTAACAAGGGCAACTTCAAAATGTGTGTTTCTTCCACCTTAAAAAAAATGTGACAACAACTGTTGTTCTTTCCCACTTCATTAAGCTGAACAGGCTTGAGATAAGGCCGGCCTTTCCTGCTACTGAGTAATCCCATGGAGTATGAATAAAGCCACCAAAGAACTAATAGTTGCTAATGATCTCCCTCCACTAGCTTTCCTGTTAGCCATTTTTTCCTGTTAGCCATGTTCCCCCTGCTGGGCAGGAAGCAGTCTATGGCGTGGTTTACCAGAGAAGCCCCTCTAATCTCCTGTCACTTGATAGGCAAAACCCAAACCTATCTTTGTCCAACAGCACTCAGGAGCCCCACAGTGACAAATAGACGAAGTAACATGGCGGCGGTCCACGGGGTTGGTGGGAATGCAGAGGACTCCATGAGAGACACAAAATGGATGCCTTTAGGAATCAGATATTTAGGGGTTTAGGATGGTGAAGGAGTTCTCAACTCTGGCTGCACGTTAGAATCACCTGGAAAGCTTTTTAAAAGTACCAGTGCCTGGGCTGGGCCCCACTCTCAGAGTTTCAGATTCAGTTGGCCTGGGGAAGGCCCAGGGCATTGGGATACTTTGAAAGTTTCCCAAGTGAGTCTAGAGGACACTGAGGGTTGAGAAGTACTGCCCTAGCCCAGGATTTCTCCACCATAGTGCTGGTGGTATTTTGGGCCAGATCGTTCTGTGCTGTGGGGGAGGCTGTCCTGTGTGCTTAGGGTGTTTAGGAGCATCTCTGGGCTCTACCGATGGGAGGCCAGTAACATCCCCTCCTCCTGTTGTGACAACCAAAAATGTCTCCAGATATTGCCAAATGTCAAATGTCCCCTGAGGGACAAAATTGCCCCCCCCCC